CCCTGCCCCGCACCCTTGTCTTCTCGGGGGGCTCCCATCCGAAGAGCCTCCCGAGAGCATCCCTCCGTCCGCGCCCCCCGAGGGCGGCTCCCCACAATTACCACCCTCCGCTCTCCCTGCAGCGTTTGGCGCTCTTTCCACGACGCCGCCTCCCCGCGTTGCCCGGCCCGAGAGCCCGCTGGTCTGGGGCCCTGGAGGCCGCCTCTGGCCCCGGTCTAGCGCTCTCGGCCACTGTGGGGTCCACCAGGACGTTTTGTGGGCATGCATCCCCGCACCCTCTTCTAAACGTTGTGGGGCTCCAGGGCTCAGATACAACCGAATATGGAGAAAAGGGCTCACACCCGAGAAGGCGCGGGGCCAGGGTCAGCTGTCGTTTAGGACGGGATACGGGCGGAACGGCGCCCAGCAGGGTGCCCGCGCATGGCAGGTGCCCGCGCACGGCCAGAGGCTGGGTTCCGTGTGGGCTGAATGGAAGGGCATGGCATTGCCGTTCGGCTTGTTCTTGGCAGGATCTGAGACCTCTGAATGAACCACTTTCCTGACCCTTTAAGGCTTAAGCTATTAAATAGAAGGGAAACCATGTATGGACATGAGGGTGGGGGCGGGGGGAGTTTTCAGATTGCACCCAACTCCAGTTTGGGTTCAAAAAAAGTATTAACACTAAAAGTCGTTTTAAAACATACAAAGCTATAATGCCACTACCTCTAGACAACTATTCATTTTTTAAATTTTTCAGTTGCACACTTCTTCCCTCACTGATTCTAACAATAGGTACATAATAAAAGTTTGTAGGCTGTACCATAATGAGATTAAAAGCATTCCTCTAATATTGAATAGTTATGTTATGCCCAACTTTTCGCTATTATATATAACAATGAAATGAATAACTTTATGTTTGGTAACAGCTTTATTGAAGTATAAGTCACATTCCATCTAATATAGTATATCTCTCTTTGAATTGGTTACTTAGGATAAATTCTCAAGATTGGCATTATGGAATCAAAGGTTGGTTTGTAAAGATATATCAAGGCACAGTGGCACCAGCAATGAATGATTAAACCAATTTCATGTGAGAATTTAAAAAATCTTTGCTATTTTGGGACACATAATGGTACCTCAAAGTTTTGTTATTTATGCATTTCTTTTACCACTGACCAGGATAAATATTTACCCATGTGTTTGTTTCACATGTGAGATTGTTCCAAGTCTTTGCCCATTTACTATTGCAGTCTTGATGTTTTTCTTATAAATTTGGAATCCTGTGGGTCGTAGCTATTAGGCTTTAGTTTGTTTTCTTTGATGCAAGTATTTTTCCCCAATTCTTTATATTTTAATATTTTTAGCCTATAGAAGGTTTACACTTAAAATCAGGGGTGGGCAAAAATAGGGTTACAGTTACTGAATGGAAAATAATACAGTAATTAATAAATAGCAATACAAGAATAAACTGTTTTGTGTACTCACAACTGTAAACCTACTTTTGTTTACACCTGTATATCAGAATCTGTCAGTCTTTTGTGGTTTATTTTCTATTCCCCCCAAATCTGAGAAATTTATAACTCCTCTACAGACCTGATAAATCTCCTCTTTGAATAGCTACTTGTTTCCTTATAATTTGATTTTTAAAATGTTTTTAAATTGATTTTAGAGAGAGAGAGAGGAAGAAAGAGAGAAACATCAATGTGAGAGTGGTATATCAATTGGTTGCCTCCCACATGCACCCCGACCGGGAATTGAACCCATAACCTGGGCATGTGCCTTGACCGGGAATGGAATTGGCAACCTTTTGGTGCACAGGATGATACTCCAACCAACTGAGCCACACCAGCTAGGGCTGTTATAATTTGATTTTAAAAAAATACTTAAAACTTTCATCAATATCACTTTTGTGTGCAAGGGATGATAGTTCAACTCTTATTTTCTAAATGGCTACGTAGTTATCACTATACATTTTGTTCTTTCCCTTTGTTCTAGAAAGCTTATTTTGTCAAGTATTAATGTACACACATATATACACATATATATGTGTACATATATGTATGTGTACATATATGTATATGTGTACATATCTGTATATATATGATCTATATCTGAACTCTTCATTTTGTTCTACTGATACAGTTTTCCATTTCCACAGTATTTTAAATATTTTTTGATAGGGTCTAATATCTGTTAGGATTAGATTATCCTTGTTGGATTTTTTTTTTTGGTGTGTGTGACATCTCTACTTCCACTCAACCACCCAAGCAAAAATAAATTCTTTGCCTTTTCAAAAGTTTTTGTGGTTTTCACTATAAAGTTCCCACACACCTTTTATTATATTTATTCCTAAGTATTCCTAAATATTTTATGCATTTTGTTTTTATTATGAATCTCTTTTTCAGTATGTTTTCTAGTTGGGTATTATTAATCATGTACAAGATTAATCTTTTATAAATTTTGGTCATTTTGTTTAGCTTTTATTCTAGTACGATTTTATTGTTGATGATAATGAATATCTGGGGTTTTGAGGGTTGTAGTCTTGTTACCTTTATTCCTTATAAGAAAAACTTTCAGAGAATGTATCAGTTGACCTATAAAAGAAGTTGGCTAAAATGACTGAACTCAAGCCAGCCAAGGCAAAGTTTTGCTTTCTCTCTCTAGAGATTGAGTGAACGAATGAAATAATTTTTTTCAAGTGTTTTAAAAGAGAGATTATGGGAATGAGTGTGCATTCTATAAGCAATAACAATAAAATAAAAGTGAGTTTACAGTATAAATGTATGGTGCTTTGAGACTACAAAGTGATAGAGCTTTATTATTTATTCGGCCTGTGTGTTTTGAGTTCTTGACTGTGCCCTAGGATGAGGTACCTCCAAACTTCTAGGGAAGCTGCTTGACCACAGCACTTGATAAAGAGCAAGGTCATTGTTTTCTGAGCTGAGAGGAGAAGTTTGTATTAGAGCAGGTGGAGCCCGTGTTGACCAGTGTGGTCTGTTTCTGGACAGCTGCAGAGACATGATAAGCTACCAAGAGAGGTACTTGTCATCCCTGGAGGGAGATGGCATGCACCCATTCCTCTTAGGGCATCAGGGCGCCAGGGCCAAAGTTCAGTGAGAGTTTGGCTGCTTGGATAGTGGTAGGGCTGTAGTTCATGCTTTGGGCTGATTAATTGCCAACTGGACAGTGGGATAAGTTTTTGTCAGTGACACAAAACTTCATTTTATCAGAAACTTAACCTCACAGCATCAGAGTTTTTAGCATCTATCAAGAATGGGAATACCATACCTAGAAAAATGAGGTTTAAATGTGTAAGTGCTACAGTGTTCAGCACATAGTAGGCACTCAATAAATTGTTGTAAAGTAGAACTTCTTAATTGCTTGGCTTCTCCGCTAGTCAATCTGTATATGGCAAAAGTGGAGATGCGGCCTAAAGGCAAGAGGGAAAACACACACTGCTTAATTTCTCTCACCTGTCCTGGATGTTTTTGGAATCATGACAGCAGAACCTGTGGGCTTAGGGTCTGCACTCCCTGCCGGAGAGCCTCTTGATTCTCTGAAACACAAACTGCTAAGGTTTACTGACCTTCCGGCCCAGGGCAAGTCCCATTCAGCTTGGCTGTTCCTAACTGATCATAGCTTTGTTGATGTGAGTAAGATGAACTGCTTTGGTTCCTTGTGATTTGTTAATGGTCTTATACTTGTGCTTGAAGGCATTTTGGCCACTTTTAAACCACAAACAAATAATTTGCTTCCCTTTAGGCCTCTTGCCCAAACAGT